ACAAGCATGCTTGTAAAATGAATGTTTTATTCTGTATTCAGAGAGGAAACCTCGGGGATAATATAATTATTAGTTGCCGCCCGGCCACTAGCACAAAGGAGGCCAAACGAGCAGCTCGTCCCTCCGGTGGACGCCATATTGCGTCCTTTCAGGCATGTGCACTGCGCCTGCCCGCAGAGCTGTGATCTGTCACTGGCCGTGTACCTCGGACACGGCCGATGACAGATCTGTGTACCGGCCCCGTTGCCAGTACCATGTGACCTGCTGTGACCAATCACAGCAGGTCACATGACAGTTGTATACAATGGATGGCTTCCTTTCATGCCATCCATTGTATACAAGTGTATCTAGCTGTGAATGGTCACAGCGATCACATGCACAGGCTGGGCCAATCACAGCCCAGCTGTGTCATGTGATTAGCTGTGGCCAAATCACGGTTAAGCACAAACAAAAACCCCTGAATGAATCGATTTCATTCAGATAAATGCTTATAGCAAAGAAATTCTTTGCTATAAGCCAGTGGTTCTTAACCTGGGTTCGATCGAACCCCAGGGGTTCAGTGAGTCAGTCTCGCGGGTTCGGCGGAGGTGGAAGACCCACACCCGACTCATATGATTCGTGCAGTAAATATTCATTATTATGTTTTTGTTTTTGTGTGAAAATCATGTTTTAATGGTTTTGTTCTTTGTTGTTAATGGTTTTATTCATTTTGTGCACCTATGTATAAATATATACCTAAATATATACCTATGTTTTGAATTTGAAAAATCATATTTTATTTTTCCAATTAAGAAGGGTTCGTGAATGCGCATATGAAACTGGTGGGGGTCAGTACCTCCAACAAGGTTAAAAACCACTGCTATAAGCAATCAAATTGTGTAAAAAAATAATAATCACTTCCCCAAAGTAGTACAATGTTACTATGGTAACATTATAATACTTTGGTCATAGTGAAATATGGAAAACAAATCTTAAAAAAAAAAAAAAAAAAAAAATGTATAAAAATTTTTTTAAAAAATTATCAATTTTTTTTTTTCGTACTGTCACCAGTCAGTTTCCCTGATCACACCGCCATGCCAGTTATATGATGACACTGTACTGCACTGGTGACAGCATGTTAAAAAAAAAATACTGAAAATAATTTTTTTTTAATTTTATTTTCTGAAAAATTATGACAAAAAATTACGACTTCAAAAAACTCGCCATGCCTCTAATGAAATACTGTGAATATTGAGTTTCCTATAATCATCAGTTCCATCTAGTTGGAACCCCGGCCCAGATATAAGAGCATTTGTAAAACAACTTCACATTGGGATCCAGACTAAAAAGAGCGAATGTATTTACAGTTGTGACCAAAATTATTCAACCCCCAATGCTGTAAAGGGGTTTAGGGACTATAGTGTACAAATTGTATTCAGAATCAAATCCTACAAGGACGTTTAACTACCCAAATGCAACTAAAATGACATCAATTGTTTATGTAATACAGTAGTAAATGGTTCTTACTTTCTTCATTGCCACAATTATTCAACCCCTTTATAAGACTACCACTCAAGAACAGAGGTTCATACAGGTGCTTTCCATCAGGTATTGAAAACACCTGTGGATGTCACCGAGCAGCAATCAAGCATAATAAGCACCAATTAGGCAGCTTTAAAATGACTGTGATACTCAGCTCCTTCTAGACATTTACTGGTGTGGTTACAAACTGGTGAAGGCAAGCAGAATGGTCCAGGAAGACAAGAGAAGAGGTGATTTCTCTTCACAGGAAGGGCAATGGCTATAAGAAGATTGCAAAGATGTTAAACATACCAAGAGACACCTTAGGAAGCATCATTCGCAAATTCAAGGCTCAAAGGGCACTGTTGAAACGCTACCTGGTCGTGGCAGAAAGAAGATGCTGACTTCGACTGCTGTGCGCTACCTGAAGAGAGTGGAGAAATCCCCGTGTGACTGCTGAGGAACTGAGAAAAATTTGTCAGATGTGGGTACAGAAGTTTCAGCCCAGACAATAAGACGCACACTGCGTAATGAAGGCCTCCGTGCCAGAACTCCCAGGCGTACCCCCTTGCTGTCTCCAAAGATAAAAGAGTCGACTGCAGTATGCCAAAAAGCCATGTGGACAAACCACAAAAGTTGTGGGATAGTGTTCTGTGGACTGATGAAACAAAATTAGAACTGTTTGGGCCCAACCCAACGCTATGTTTGGAGGAGGAAGAACAAGGCCTATGATGAAAAGAACACCTTGCATTTGAAGCATGGTGGAGGGTCAATCATGCTTTGGGGCTGTTTTTTGCTTCTGCAGGTACAGGGAAGCTTCAGCGTGTGCAAGGTACCATGAATTCTCTTCAGTACCAGGAGATATTGGATGGAAACGTGATGCAGTCCGTCACACACCTGAGGCTTGGGAGACGTTGGACCTTTCACAGGACAATGATCCCAAGCATACCTCCAAGTCCACTAGAGCATGGTTGCAGAGGAAAGGCTGGAACATTTTGGAGTGGCCATCGCAGTCACCAGACTTAAATCCGATTGAGAACCTCTGTGGGACTTAAAGAAAGCAGTTGCAGTGCGCAAGCCTAAGAATGTGACTGAACTGGAGGCCTTTGCCCATGAAGAATGGGCGAAGATACCCGTAGATCGCTGCAAGACACTTGTGTCAAGCTATGCTTCACGTTTAAAAGCTGTTATAACTGTAAAAGGATGCTGTACTAAGTACTAAGATTGAATGTCACTTGGGGGTTGAATAAAACTGATAATGCTGTGAGCACAGAAAAAGACATTTGTGGTTATTTCATTATAACTGTTATGTTATATTTGTCTGACCTACAAGTGCCTCTTTAATGTAAATGTAAGCAAGATGACTGAATGATCAAAAGCAATGTCAAACTGGCCAAAACACTCAATTTCAGTGGGGGTTGAATAATTTTGGTCACAACTGTAACTGCCATTCATTCTGTATGAATACGTTCAAAAAATCGAAGGTTACAAAAAGCAGGAGGAGCTGGCAACTCCAAAATCCCCATGAAAGCTTTATTACAGAAATGACATAAAACCACATTGACGCGTTTTGGCAAGTAGCCTTCATCACAGCATGTGATCGAGGCTTCTTGCCGAAATGAGTTGGCACACTTTTATCTCACTCCTGTATCACTAATAAAGCTTCCATGAGGATTTTGGAGTTGCCGGCTCTTCCTTCTTAGTAATACAGGAGTGAGATTAAAAACATGCCGACGCATTTCGGCAAGTGCTGTGATTAAGGCTACTTGCCGAAACGTGTCTTTTTGTATCCTTTATCCGGCGTGTGGAGGACACTGGAGCCTGAGCGCCCGCCCTGGATCCCGCTGCTGAATCAGCTGTTTCCTGTTTGAGCGCCGCTTCTCCATCACATTCATCAGAAATCGAATGTTATTAGGCTACTTTCTGTCCAGGTGGAAAATGCATCACATTGGCCACTAGATGGAGCTGATGATTGTAGGAAATAAATATTGGGTTTCCTAGGGTCATCAGTTCCAACGAGCTGGAACCCCGGCATGGATATCAGAGTATTTGTAAAACAACTTCACATTGGTATCCAGACTCAGGAAGAGCGAATGTATCTAGCTGCCATTTATTCTGTGTGAATACGAGCAAAATCGAAGGTTACAAAAAGCAGGAGGAGCCGGCAACTCGAAAATCCTCATGAAAGCTTTATTAGTGATACAGGAGTGAGATAAAAGCACGCCAACACGTTTCGGCAAGTAGCCTTGTTAAGTTTGCTATGCTTCAGTTATGAATGAACACAGTGAGCGATCGGTACCATTCACTCATTGTGTTCATTCAGGAAAGGAAAGGGCTGGTCAATGTGACATATTTACAGGACCCTTCCCCCACTCTCCAATCTAAAGGATCCTATTGTGGGCCTGCAGCTACCGGTGGAAAGGACAGGAGGGAACCCGGTAGCACTGCGGGGGGGGGGGCACACAGGGGGGGCTGGGCAGCAGGGGTAAGCTTATGGTTCCCAGGGAGGGTGAGGCTCTGTTCCAGGTACTGACTGAGTCAGGGCTGTGGATAAGGGGGTATCACCAGTCCTCCTGTACAGGGCCCAGGCTAGCAGGGGGGCCCAGGCAGCTGGGTGAATCAGATGTGGGACAGGGACTCTGGGTACCACGAGTCCTCCTGTAGGGGACCCAGGATAGTACGGCCTTTGGGCGCCACCAGTTCTCCAGTACGGGGCCCAGGCATCTGAGAGAACCATACAGGGGGATCGGTTCCAGTAATGGTCCCCCCCCCCGATCACTCTCTCTGCCCACATTCAATTCACCCACCTACCTGGGCCCCCCTGCTAGCCTGTGCCCCATACAGGACTGGTGGTACCCAGAGTCCCTGCTAGTCTGGGCCCCGTACAGGAGGACTGGTGGTACCCAGAGTCCCTGCAAGTCTGGACCCCATATAGGAGGACTGGTGGTACCCAGAGTCTCTGCTAGCCTGGGCCCTGTACAGGAGGACTGGTGGTACCCAGAGTCCCTGCTAGCTTGGGCCCTGTACAAGACTGGTGGTACCCAGAGTCCTTGCTAGCCTGGGCCCCATACAGGAGGATTGGTGGTACCCAGAGTCCCTGCCCACATCCGATTCACCCAGCTGCCTGGGCCCCATACAGGAGGACTGGTGGTACCCAAAGCCAACCAGCAGTGACTCCCCCCCCCCCCCCACCTCCTTCTCTCTCACCATGATGTCCTCCATGGAAGCTTCTGCTGAAGGTCAGGTGAGATCAGACTACACTGCTAGAGGGACCCAACCAGCAGTGACCCCCCCCTCCTCTCGCCTAGCAGAGGAAGCCAGACACAACTTTAATGATCTCTGATCTCCTTATAAAGTGTTTCTTCCATGATAAAGATCAGAGGAGTGCTCAGCCACGTGTTTTCTGAGATGTATATCAAGGTGTGCTTCTTCCCAGTGTGAGATTTCTGATGTACGGCAACATATCATCCATATAGAAGACATTTCCCGCACTCAGTACACTAATACACCTCAAGGGTTGCGTGGGTTCTCTGATGTTTGGTAAGATGAGACTTCTGTGAAAAACATTTCCCGCACGTAGAGCAGGAATATGGCCTCTCCCCCGTGTGGGATCTTTGATGTATAACAAGGTCTGATTTCCATGAAAAACATTTCCCGCACTCAGGGCAGGAAAACGGCTTTTTACCCGTGTGCCATATTTGATGTTTAGCAAGACTGGACTTCCGTGAAAAACATTTTCCACACTTTGAACAAGCATACGGCTTCTCATCCATGTGAGACTTCTGATGCGAGTAAACATGGGACCTCTGTGAAAAACATTTCCCGCACTCAGGGCAGGAATACGGCTTCTCACCCGTGTGAGATCGCTGATGTATGCGAAGATGGGACTTGTTCGCAAAACATTTCCCGCACTCGGGGCAGGAAAACGGCTTCTCCCCCGTGTGGGTTCTCTGATGTTGAACAAGGTCTGATTTTTGTGAAAAACATTTCCCACACTCGAAGCAGGTATGCATGTTCTCGCCCGTATGCAATCTCTGATGTCTGGAAAGACTGCTCTTCTCTGCAAATAATTTTCCACACTCAGAGCAGGAATATGGACTCACCCCCGTGTGAGATCTTTGATGAACAGCAAGTTTTGATTTCTGTGGAAAACATTTTCTGCACTCAGGGCAGGGATATGGCTTTTCGCCCGTGTGCCACCTCAGATGTCTGGAAAGATCAGGCCTACGTGAAAACAGTTTTCCACACTCAGGACAGGAGTGCAACTTCTCCCCCGTGTGCAATCTCTGATGTCTGGAAAGGCTGTTCTTATCTGAAAAACATTTCCCGCACATGGGGCAGGAATACGGCCTCTCCCCCGTGTGAGATCTCTGATGTAAAACAAGTTCTAATTTCTGGGTGTAACTTTTTCCGCATTTGGAGCAGGAATGTGGCTTCTCCCCAGTGTGCAATCTCAGATGTACAGAAAGACTGGTTTTCCGTGAAAAAGATTTCCCACACTCAGGGCAGGGATACGGCTTTGCCCCCGTGTGAGATCTGTAATGTATGTCCAGTTTTGATTTACGAGAAAAACATTTACCGCACTCGGAGCAGGCATATGACTTCTTGCCCGTGTGAAACATTTGATCTCTGGAAAGATTAGTCTCATCTAAAAAACATTTCCCGAACTCGGGACAGGAAAACGGCTTCTCTCCTGTGTGAGATCTTTGATGTGTAACAAGTTCTGATTTCTGTGGAATACATTTTCCGCACTCAGGGAAGGAATGAAGCTTCTCATTCTTGTGAGATCTCTGATGTACATTAAGATTTAATTCGGGGCTAAAACTTTCCTCACATTCAGGACACGTAAACGTCTCCTCCACCTGAACCCCGGCCCCATCCCCCACAGTACGAGGTTGCTCAGAGTCAGAGGGACTCCATGGTCTCTCCACACTGGGAAGTCCACCATCCATAGTGGAGCTCATTGTCTTTTCTCTGGCGCAATCTCCTGGGATGTCCTCATCGTCCATTTTACAACCTGGAGATAAAGTGAGACGATCCTTTGATGGTTTCTCCATGGCGGGTCCTGGAAAAATAGAAAAACATCATCAATAGATAGGAGAGGATTAGTTCACTTCCATCAAGATTCCATCTGGATCAGGGAGATAGGAGGGAGCAGATGTTCTCTGGGGATGTCCCAACCAGCTGGGACTCCTCCCCTCTTCAAAGAGCCTTTGGTCCTCCCAGATCACTTCTACATTTACACCGCCTTGTCAGAGGAGCAGGAACCAATGGGGGCTGGGAGGGGGGGTGGTAACAGAGCAGAGATAAGAGAAGAATATATTCTGGTCACCTGTGCTGATCTCTGTAGGAGTGTCCTCCTCTATGAATGTCCTCCTCATTCCAGCCTCCTCCGTATATTGCTGATCATCCCTCTCATACGTCTCTTCTACTTCACCCTCAACTTTCATGTTCATCAGATCTTCACCCTAAACCAACAGAATGGCAGAAAATAACATCTGTAACATAGAAGGATTTATGATGTGAGATCACATAGAACATCTCATCTTGTAGAGTCCACACATCGTCTCCACATGTCAGAGTGTTCTATCACTTTATGTTCCCGACCCTCAACTCCACCTACCTGATGATGGTGAGGGATGGTGTGACCTTCCTGTGTGGAATCCCAGGAATACAGAGAACGGGGACATCTCTCTGGTGGGTTCCTGGTATTAGGTGGCTCCATCATATCCTTGTGTCCTTCTAAAAGCTCCTCCATCACTCCATACTCCTCATCCTCCTCTTTATACTCTTCTTTGACAATAATATTATAATCCCCGAGGATTCCATTCTGGATGCATAATAAAAAATGTATTGTAACAAACATGATTGTGTATGAATCATAACTGTATCGGTGACTGTTAATCATCTACCAGATCATGGTGAGGGATGGTGTGATCTTCCTGTGTGGAATATAGAGAATGAGGACATCTCTCTGGTGGGTTTCTGTTACTAGGTGGCTCCATTATATTGTTCTTGTGGGAATCTTTGGGTTCTACAGAGAGCTCCTTCACCATTCCATACTCCTCCTCCTTAATCTCTTTTTTAACATCAATATTACAATCCCCGAAGTTTCCACTCTGAATATATAATAAAACATTCATTGTAACAAACATGATTGTGTATAAATTATAACTACCAATAATTGTTCCTCACCTACCTGATGATGTTGAGGATGGTGTGAGCTTCCTGTGTGGAATCCCGGGAATACAGAGGACAGGGACATCTCTCTGGTGGGTTCCCATGACTGGATTCATCTACCTGATGATGGTGAGGGATGGTGTGACCTTCCTGTGTGGAATCCCGGGAATACAGAGGACAGGGACATCTCTCTGATGGGTTCCCATGACTGGATCCATCTGTAGGAAACACACACACTGACTGAATCCATTGTTTCTATGTGTTTATCAGATGATGGGGGATCTACAGTTGCAAGAAAAAGTATGTAAACCCCTTGGGATTACGTGGAGTTTTGCATGAATTGGGCATAAAATGTGCTCTGAATGTCATCTAAGTCACAACAATAGAAGAACACAGTCTGCTGAACATAATACTACACAAACATTAGATGTTGCCATGGTTTAATTGCACATAACATGTAAACATTCACAGTGCAGGGAGGAAAAATTATGTGAGGCCCTAGCTTAATGACTTCTCCCAGAGCTAATTGGAGCCAGGAGTGAGCCAACCTTGACTCCAATCAGTGTGATGATATTGGATGTGTTGCTGACAGCTGTCCTGCCCTTAAAAAACACACCTGTTTTGGGTTTACTGGTTTCAAGAAGCACTGTCTGATGTGAACCATGCCTCGCAGAAAAGAGCTCTCAGAAGACCTACGATCAAGAATTGTTGACTTGCATGAAGCTGGAAAGGGTTACAAAAGTATCTCCAAAAGCCGTGATGTTCATGTGTCCACGGTAAGACAGACTGTCTACAAATGGAGAAAGTTTAGCACTGTTGCTACTCTCCCTAGGCGTGGTCGTCCTGTAAAAATGACTGCAAGAGCACAGCGAAGAATGCTGCATGAGGTAAAGAAGAATCCCAGAGTGTCAGCTAAAGACCTACAGAAATCTCTGGCACATGCTAACATTTTTGTTGACACATCTACAATAAGGAAAACATTAAATAAGAATGGAGTACATGGGAGGACACCACGGAGGAAGCCATTGCTGTCCAAAAAGAATATTGCAGCACGTTTGAAGTTTGCAAAAGAGCACCTGGATGTTCCACAGCACTACTGGCAAAATATACTGTGGACAGATGAAACCAAGATTGACTTGTTTGGGAAGAACACACAACACTATGTGTGGAGAAAAAAAGGCACAGCACACCAACATCAAAACCTCATCCCCACTGTGAAACATGGCGGAGGGAGCATCATGGTTTGGGGCTGCTTTGCTGCCTCAGGGCCTGGACGGATTGTTGTCATTGATGGGAAAATGAATTCCAGAGTTTATCAAGGCATTTTGCAGGAAAACGTATGACCATCTGTCCGCCAACTGAAGCTCCGCAGAGGATGGGTGATGCAACAGGACAATGACCCAAAGCATAGAAGTAATTCAACAAAACAATGGCTGCAACAGCACAGAATACGCCTTCTGGAGTGGCCCAGTCAGAGTCCTGACCTCAACCCGATTGAAATGCTGTGGCATGACCTTAAGAGAGCGATTCACACCAGACATCCCAAGAATATTGCTACACTGAAACAGTTTTGTGAAGAGGAGTGGTCCAAAATGACTCCAGATCATTGTGCAGGTCTGATCTGCAACTACAGGAAACGTTTGGTTGAGGTTATTGCTGCCAAAGGAGGGTCAACCAGTTATTAAGTCCAAAGGTTCACATACTTTTTCCTCCCTGCACTGTGAATGTTTACATGTTATGTGCAATTAAACCATGGCAACATCTAATGTTTGTGTAGTATTATGTTCAGCAGACTGTGTTCTTCTATTGTTGTGACTTAGATGACGTTTAGAGCACATTTTATGCCCAATTCATGCAAAACTCCACGTAATCCCAAGTGGTTCACATACTTTTTCTTGCAACTGTAGGTGGAGCCTCCGTACTGCTCTCTCCTTTCCAATAAAGTCTCCTCTTACCCGGTGATGTGAGGGGCGGCTGATTGTCCATCATGACGTCCTTGTAGAGGTCCTTGTGTCCTTCTAAATACTCCCACTCCTCCATGGAGAAATAGACAGTGACACCCTGACACCTTATAGGAACCTGACACACACACAATGATACAGTCACCATCCAGACACATCCCTTGTCTGTTACTGGAGAATGTCCCAGAATTCCCGGCACCGCTCACCTCTCCTGTCAGCAGCTCCATCATCCTCTTGGTGACTTCTAGAATCTTCTGCATGTTGTATCTCTCTGAGGAGTTGGGTTGAGGCACTATGGTGAGAGGTGGCCCGTGAGGACAGTGGCTGGATGTCAACAGCTCACCAGATCTCCTATTCACTACTTCATAATTCTGCAAAGTTGAAGTAAATATTATCATTATATATACTCCCAGAATCCCCCTCACCTCTCCGGTCAGGTCTGTTTTATTAATAGAGACAAGAGTGACGTCATGTGACCTCCCAGAATCCTCCTCACCTCTCCGGTCAGGTCTGTGTTTTATTAATAGAGATGAGAGTGATGTCATGTGACCTCCCAGAATCCTCCTCACCTCTCCGGTCAGGTCTGTGTGATGTCATGTGACCTCCCAGAATCCTCCTCACCTCTCCGGTCAGGCATGGGTTTTATTAATAGAGATGAGAGTGCTGTCATGTGACCTTCCAGAATCCTCCTCACCTCTCCGGTCAGGTCTGTGTGATGTCATGTGACCTCCCAGAATCCTCCTCACCTCTCTGGTCAGGTCTGTGTTTTATTAAGAGATGAGAGTGATGTCATGTGACCTCCCAGAATCCTCCTCACCTCTCCGGTCAGGTCTGTGTTTTTTTAATAGAGATGAGAGTGATGTCATGTGACCTCCCAGAATCCTCCTCACCTCTCCGGTCAGGTCTGTGTTTTTTTAATAGAGATGAGAGTGATGTCATGTGACCTCCCAGAATCCTCCTCACCTCTCCGGTCAGGTCAGTGTTTTTTTAATAGAGATGAGAGTGATGTCATGTGACCTCCCAGAATCCTCCTCACCTCTCCGGTCAGGTCTGTGTTTTATTAATAGAGATGAAGTGATGTCATGTGACCTCCCAGAATCCTCCTCACCTCTCAGGTCAGGTCTGTGTTTTATTAATAGAGATGAGAGTGATGTCATGTGACCTCCCAGAATCCTCCTCACCTCTCCGGTCAGCAGGTAGATGATCTCCAGGGTGAGGTTTAGTATCCTCTCAGTCATGTGACTCTGGTCCTCCTCCATCCTCATTGGCCATGTGATCTGTATTTTCCCTGTAGTCCAGTGGTTGAGATATCTGATAATTGAGAGGTATCTGGATAGAACTGGTTGGACAATGTTAGGATGGGGATGTGTGGGGGATGGTATGAGGGTTGTAGACACATATTGAGGCTGAGATACTTAAATGTTATTTTTCTTGTGATGTCATAGGATGTGTTGACTTCTAATGGGATAACATTGACAGTTTGGATGGAGGACATTGGGAGGAGGGGCTGTGAGGTCAGTGTGATGTCATAGGATTCTCTGACTCTGGATGGAGGGACATTGGGAGGAGGAGCTGTGAGGTCAGTGTGATGTCATAGGATTCTCTGACTCTGGATGGAGGGACATTGGAAGGAGGAGCTGTGAGGTCAGTGTGATGTCATAGGATTCTCTGACTCTGGATGGAGGGACATTGGAAGGAGGAGCTGTGAGGTCAGTGTGATGTCATAGGATTCTCTGACCCTGGTTGGAGGACATTGGGAGGAGGAGCTGTGGGGGGCGCTCTGTGAGGTTTCTGTACACAGAATCATTTCT